CCACTGTTTGGTTGCAGATTGAACACTCATCATATTTCACAACCTCCAATCATTTCAATGAACTTGCATAGATACCCAGATCATGTATGGATTTCAAATCTTTACAATAAACAATTATCAAGTTTTCAAACCATTAATATCCTTCATTTAATTGGCATCATTTCAGATCCATTATTGTCCTTTAATTAAATTTAGGTGGTAGACCTAGAGTGCTTATTCAAATCTTTTTGTCATCCAAACTGAATTGTTCAAACGGATGATTTCAAAAACCTTTTTTCCCATTAAGCTCCTTGCACAAAATAGAATCCACCAATCAAAAGAGCATCCTTTTCAGTCCTTTAACAGAAAGGTACACAGCAGAGCAGAGGCAAGTAAAAGCACATATATTCATTAAAAAGATTTCTTGATCCACACAATCATTGTCCATGGGAGACAAACCTGTACATATGCATATACAACACATACATATACATAAACATGTATATATACATACATTATGTGTGTCAGTGTGCTACGTATGTGTTGTGTTATATAAATATATATACATGTGAGTGTGTGTGTGTCTATATGTATGTATATAAATTTCAGTTTTCCTTTTGCACATGGCATTCCTAGAGTAAAGACTGCAGCAAATAATGGTGAATATAGCATACCATCCTCAGGCATGACTTCTTGTTTGTCTTCAAGAAACAGTATTAACTGTCTTAGGGGCTGCATGGAGCCTCTTTGCACAATAACCTAATATCAGAACCAGAATAACCCTCTGTTCTTTCGACTAATATATCATAAGGAAGTTTCTTCACCAGAGCTCGATGGCAAGAGTTCCTCAACATGGCTCTTCGTGCATCTGGTTCTGGAGTGGAACAAGGATCTAGCACCACAGATTTGAGTGTAAAATTTCAATAAACAAACACAAAGCTATGTCTGAATGGATTTTCTTTCCCATTACAGAAGAATTATTAACTTACACTGACAAACTCAACGCAAAAGGCAAACAAGAGCAAGTGTGAATCTCTTTAGTCATTAAATCATGAAAACCAAGACTAAGAATGACAAGTAAAGCCTTTTGTCATAAACTTATGAAATTATCAGTAAATAGTTATTTACCTAGGATTCTCATTCAATTCAACTTAACACTTATCACCATTTAGAATGGCGCTGTATTAAATCTGTCACAAACTTAGTAAGTCAACAGACTGAATTGTAAGCGAGTATACATTTTGCAAATGTGTCTTTGCTTCAAAAGACAGCATTATATTTGCTCAATATTCATCTTTGAAGTCATGATAGACACTTTTTTTTACCCATTCATAAATGGCCAGAAAGAAAACTGACATGACTTCACGAAATTTTCACAGTACTTCACTTCACACTAAACTGCATGTGATGTATTCTTCCAGCTATGTATGCATATTAAATACAATACCCGTTTTTCAGAGACGCCGGAGCATCGCAGCATCCAGTTCCCATGGAAGGTTTGTTGCCGCCAAACAAAACAACACAAGTTCTTCTGACCAAGTCAAACCATCCATCCACTGCAGTCTAATTAAAGCCATCAGTTTGAGGCATGTTTAAATCAAATAAAGTTAGTCATTGAATCAGGGGACAGGAGGATGATATTCTTAGCTGCATGGATACAAACGAAACCTAATAATAATATTCATCAATATCAAAGTTTAATGTTTAAACTAAAGGTCACAGGTAAATGTAGTACATTTAAAAAATAAATTACTTAAGCATTCAGTAACAAACCAAAAGAGGCAAAATAACATACCGACATGTATATTTATCTAATACACAATAAAATAAATATACTTCATGCACTTGTAGAAATCAAGTGTGACCTGTATCAGCAGCTCAGTTTTCAATCGTCTGCTTGCTTCATGCTCACTGCGTGCTTCACCTCGTTGGCTGATGATAGCATCAATTTCATCAAGAAATATAGTTGAAGGAGCATGATGTCTAGCAAGCTCAAACAACACCTTCACCAACTTCTCCGAATCACCTGGAATTTTAGGCCATTTTGGATTATTTATCAAATATAACACATTTAGCTAAATCAATGTTCTGGAAGACAAAAGTGGAAGCAAAAGGTTTGCTGTGGGATCATGAACAATTGCATTAAGGTAACGTATTCAGTAATTTATGTGCCAAATTCTTAAAAACCAATAAAGAAAGAACACAAAAAACTATAACATGAAATATACTGCATTAAAAGACAGACAATATCAGTTTGTGGAAAACAATTTCGCAAAGTAGTGATCTAACAGTGGTGAAACTGCCCAAAGACAGATGCTACATCAAGCCCTAAGGGCAACAAGGTCACCATGCCACAAACACAACTGGGATTTGCATTGTTTGCTAAATGCCAAGTTGGATATCTTACTTTCCACCGCACAATGATACTTAAGCGCACAATCAAGATCAATTCTGCATAATATCAGTACACTTTGGATCACACAATCTACCTAACCCAATAAAAAACAAGGCAAACTTGAAACCAAACCCCAAAGACCAAAAAGGACTGGTTTTACCATACTCGAGCTATTGCACATATAAGCACAAAACTTGATTTTAACTCCTTTGTCAAAATAAATAACCAAGGTTCCAAATTTCCTACTATGAATGTAGCTGCAAACTCAAGCAACCATATAATAGAACTCAATTATTTATAATTGTTCAAAACCTCAATTTCCATGAAAGAGGAAAAATGGAATGTAGATGCAATGTATGTTCCTAAATTGTGAAAATACTGTGACTGAAACATCAACAACCCCAAAGTTAAAACTTCAAATTAAACAAATTTCTTGAGAAATATAAAAATTCAGACTTTGACTGTGCCTATTTTGACTTCATTTTTTTTGGATGTAGAACTCACTGCCTGCAATGACTTTTTGTTGTCAGACAGCTAAGGAAGCAGCTGTGAAGTAATGTAGGGCACTCTCTGGGGCTTTGGCTCATTGAAACCAGTCTAACTTTATGGTAGGAAATGAGAGAATTTCAATCAAACTGAAAGCAATGAGAAGGAACAGACATTCTGCACAAGCTAACACTGATGATTGCAGAATCTGTGGGCCTGGCTGCAGCTAGTGAGATTGCTTAGCAACGTTAGTTGGGGGCGAAGACATGTCTGCTAGGTCAGCAGTAGAGGTTAGGACATCAAGGAGTAGTTTTTGTTATCATCTAGTTAGTTAATTATGTGGACAGAGTGCAATACACTTTGCAACAACTGTTAGTCTCATTTTACCCTTCATTACCTTGACAAGTGAGGTTGGTCCAACAGTTCAAATCTAATGGCTATATCAATAGCTAAATCTCAAGGTGTCTAATTGTTGTTTAGTCAAATATATGCAACAACCAAATAAGCAAGAATATGTAAGGGTTACTCAGGCAACAATGAGCATTATTTCAAGTTTCAAAATAGAAATGACCTTGACAAGGTAATTAGCTCAACATACCACGCCATTTGCTGACAATCGATGATGCAGAAATATTGAAAATGTGGTTTTGCACTCTGTCGCAACAGCTTTTGCAAGCATAGTCTGCAGTATTTAAACAAAAAAATCGTTACACATAACCATAGATTGAAGCTTCAACAAACCTTGTAATGCAAGTATCATATAAACATTCAAGAAAACTTAGTTACTCTTGACGACCAATTGGTTAAATGCGTAACTGAATACTTAACAGGATGGAGAAAAGTAAGCTAATATTAGACACATCTCAGAATTTTTAATGCAGGTCCCAATGTTTGAGTTCGTGAAGTGCGGGCAATAACCTCTTTTCCACTGTTCTCTCCCTTTGACAAGTGACAAGCCATATTTTCAGCTAATAGCACCACCAATCAATATGTCCACTCATTATATGTCATATTCAATAAAAGGCTGATTTAACTCTAGATCTTCCATGTTGAACTTCAAAAAAATTGTTTGATTAGAAGAATTACATCTCACAACTACACATTTGGAGGTCAGCGACAGCAGCCTCACAGGATGGATCATATAGTTAATCAAAACAAGATGGGAAAACACAAGAAGAAACAACAGCGATCATGAGAAAATCATATGGAACTCCAAATTAAGAGTATAGTATACCAATCAAAGGGATAAACATTTACTACCTTTCCAGTTCCTGGAGGGCCAAAGAGAAGAATCCCTTTCCAAGGTGATAAGAGTCCAGTAAAGTATCTTTAAAGAAAGAAAGAAAGAAAGAAAAGTCAGGCCAAGTTAAACAAGAATTTCAAATAATCTTCTCCATGCTTAAGGGTATCGTCTTGTAAAACAGACAGATAAGGAGCTCCATAGATCCTTATCTGGGATGCTGCCATGTATGAAGCATTGCTTGTATGATTAGCTACAATATGCTAAAGTTGAGATTCCAAGTTACACATTAAAAGGGAAATTAACAACAGTAGACCTACTTGGGATACTTAATTGGCATGACCACTGCTTCTTTGAGTAGGCGCTTTGCATTTTCCAATCCTTTAATGGTTTCCCACTTAACATCTGGACTGCCACGGATAATATCCCTGAGTAGTAGAGAAGAAAAATATCGCATAATTTGTTTCATGTTACATATTTTCCAATTATACAAAAAGAGAAAATTATAGAGTTGATTTTATTACCTACTCAAACTTTCTGCTAAATTACGCATCTCAGCAGTTTCAAAAGGAGGAAGCAAAGATCTCTGTCTGAAAAGTAAAATCAAAAGTGAAAAGTCTAGCCAGCAAGCTGCTGCTCCTGCAAGTTACTCATATATAACATGTATGCAAAAGAAATTTTCCTGTAAGCATATCTGTACTCAACAGCGAACAATCGAGTAGCCAATATTAGGATGCACTCTCACTTTGACAACAGCTGAAGCATTTACTTTGCATGTTGTAAACATGTATACTTCAGGAAGAAATTATATAATCGTGAACAATCGTAAACATGTATCTGTACTCAACAGCGAACAATCGAGTAGCCAATATTAGGATGCACTCTCACTTTGACAACAGCTGAAGCATTTACTTTGCATGTTGTAAACATGTATACTTCAGGAAGAAATTATATAATCGTGATAAACATCAACAACAGTCCAGGAAATTTGACCTTTACTCGACTATCAAGTTTGATGTCTTTTATTTTAAGTTAGAGAGGACAATAATAATGATGATGATGACATCATCATCATCATCAATATTATTATCATTATTGTTGTTGTTGTTGTTATTATTATTATTATTATTATGATGCTGTATGGAATGTTATTTTAAAGTGGTAGTGGAATGACAAGAAACATATGGCACAAAGCAGTTATGTTCTTTTAAACAAACTACACAAAACATATCCACCTCCAAAACAGGACTGACGCAATGAATAGCAAATATACTGACTTAGCCAAACAATCCTACCACATTCACAGATCAACTAATAATTTCTTCCCAGCCAGCACAACTTTGCATCAGCTCCACACCCACGAGTACTAGCATGGAGCTCACTGATATTGATGCTTCATTTATCACTGGATCATTTTGCCTGCCTTGTACTTCAGTATTCATCTAATACTGATTTTACTATATCACAACAGTTAAAAAGGCATAGCAATTTCATGCTGGTAACGGGAAACCAGGATGTGTCGTTCACCTTTAGTACAAATCTTGGAATTTAATAGCGCAAACATTTTTTCTAAGTGTTTTCATATTAATACAGTTCATGAACTTCAAATTAAATCATCCTCCCTCTTTTTACCCACAGTTCTTGTTGTATTTCTATCAGGGATGCAAGAATGTGATTAATTATTGACTCTTCCATTTTAATGTCATAAGCAATCAAAAAAAGTAACTAGGCATATTCATCGAATTGACTAATGCAAGTCATCCGATTAAAGCTGTCCACAAGCAACTACACTCATCCAAGTCCCACAAATTTCTGAATAAATTGTCTATGTTTTCCTGCAGAGAACTGGATTCAAAGACAAATAGAAAATTCGCCATAACCAAGCAACAGAAGTCAACAATCAGCCACTTAAATTAAAGACATAATACCCACTTTTATAATTAAAGCCTTCAATAAATAACTAAAGCTGATTTCTATTAACTTCTTTTTGTTACCTATGAAAGTAATTCCAACCTTTGCCCTCTATAAGAGCCATCAAATTTTAGAAAGAGATAAACATGTTGCCAGAGTACAAAAGAAATTGTTTGAACAAATAGCTTACATATTGACTGCAGATATCATGTTCAAATGTCATTTACCAAGTCCAAAGCTTTATTAGTATGCAGGCCTCTGGTGCCCATGACTCAATTCTATAATAGAAACACATATACAATGCCAATCTTTAAGTTTCCTCAAGCGTTGTTTTTCAGTTAAAAGCTGCATATTTGGAATGGCCAAAATCAAAATAGGTACTAAGCTTCGCTAACTATTAGATTTGGGTGCCAAAAGAGCGACTCAACTTTCTAAGAGTGTACTCTTCACATGACTCAATGAATTTAAGTCATCAAATCATACATGCAGCAATTCTAACAGAAACATGGCTGGATTATGCCTCATTCCATTTAAATTAATGGCTAAAATCAACAGAAGTGCTGGCAATTTACTGAGATAAAAGCTTGGCAAATTAATTTTATGACTCTGACTAGTGAAGTGCTGGAAACATCCAATCAGAATAGTCTGGTTACCATTCAAGCTTTCTTCCCCTCCCCTGACATATTGCATGAATGAAATGTTGACGCTCTTAATGGAAGTTAATGATAAGCCTACAAAACAATTAGCTTTAAAGAAAAGGGAAAAAAGATGTCTCGTAAATACAAAACCACATACGGTGCATCAGTTACGGCAGAAGGAACTCCATTGCTGTATGTCGGCCTCCTTGGATCCTAAATCACCACATAAATCAACCATATCGACTAGATTAGCAATCAATTAAAACATATACCGCATGCAAATAAAAGATGACAAGAAATCACCTGATTCTGATACTCCTCGTAAATGGCTAAGTCAAATTTGCTCTTCAAATGTCCATTCCCATTAGATGACACATTTGATGGATCGCCATCAGATACCATTCGTCCATTCGCATCCGCCTCTTTGGTCTCCGGAATTCTCTTCCTCCCAAACTTCGTATCATAAAATAACTTAAAATCCTAAAAAGTCCAAAAAGAAATAACCTAATGAATATGAATAATTCTCCATTATTTTACCTAATGGAAAATTTTAACTGTCATTTAGCCACCAAAAGTCATCGATGCGAAGTATCAATAATTTGAACATATAGTTGAAACACCAATTTTTTTTTCCCACATAATGAGTTCAATCAAGGTCACAGGAGTTTCTCACAATCAGTATGAAAGAATAATTACAGCTCAAATCAAGTAAAATACAAAGTTTAATTAAGCATGCGAATCAAATAATAAAGTCAACTACCAGCATTAAGGTTTTAGAATTTAACAATTAAGAATGAATAATGATTGGAAGATACTTGAAATGTCCATCGAGTGAGGGAAGGTTCGTCAGCCATGTGATTCAGGCTTTGCTACGAATTAGTCCCCTGAGAAAGGAGAAGAGAAAGAAAGAAGAGAGGACTGATCTTTCCTTCTCTTCTCTTCTCCCTCTCTCAACTCACACACACCAACACACTCACTATGTGTTGTTCGTCGTCGTGATTCAGATTCAGATTATTATACACTAATACCAGAAGTAATATATATTAAAAAAAGGGCAGAGTAGACTCGCTAGTTGGTGGTATAGAACTCGTTGCACCGAGAAGAATTGAAGGCAATTCTTTACCGGAGAGGAAGGGAAGGGGAAGGAGGGGAGAGGATGGGTTTGATGAAATATAACAGTGAATTTGTTAAAATTGAAATTTGAAAATTGAAATCTGAATTTATTGAGTATTTAAGTATTGAATTGTTAAATATTAAATTTAATACATTCGAGTGCATATTATATTCAGTAATAAATGAATAGTATATCACTTAATTTTGAGAATAAGTTTTATTTAGAAAATTCAGTACCACTTAAATTAATTCAAATGTTTAATTTTTATTATCAAACAGTCAGAATATATTAAAATTTGAATTCATTAAATTTAAGTATTGAACTGAATTATCAAACAGGACCTAAGTAAAAGGTTTCAAGTTTGATGATTTTCACTTATACTAAAAAAAAAAAAAAAAAGAGAATGAGAGGGAAAAGGAAAGGAGTATCAAAGAGGGTAATAAATCCAGATGATTCATATACTAATAAAGTTAATAATTATTGTCATAGGGTTTGTTTAATGGTTACCTATCGACCATTCATTAAAATATATTTTATGTGTTAAATTTTTATGTAGTAAAATTAATTAGATAAAATGTACCTTTATTCTTATCCTTATCCTTGTAGTATTTAAGAATGCATTTAGGAATAGCTGAGTGACCGATTTCAACTGCTTGGTTATAAGGATGTTACGATCTCTTGAAAATAGTGTTATAAAGAATTGCCTTTAGAACAAGTGTTTAATGCTTATTTTTTGGGTAACTTTTACTTAATTGCTATGTTTTGGGATTGCAAAGGTATTTGTTTTGGGATAGGTGCCTTTGGTGCTTAAATGACCATAGAAGGTTATTTGGGGAATGTGATAAATTGTAGAGAATTGATTATACATGTGGTACAAAGTCATATAGCAATGAGTCATTCTGATTTTAGCCATTTGCTCCTTAGTAATTGTAATAGGAGGAGCTCACCACACACATGCGCAATGTAGAATTCAAAGACGGCCATGACTAGTTTTGCCCAGTAAATTAATAACAAACCAAAAAATGAAAAAATATAATTGAAAAGTATAATAAACAATATAACAGGCCATTAATGCAGCAAAGGCATGACTGAAAAACATAAAAAGTAGATTGTAGGCTGTTGGTGTAGCAAAGGTACAACTAAAAAAACACAATAAGTAGATTATAGGTTGTTATGGATGAGATTATTGATGTTGAGGTTGTCAACGTTGAGAGGTTCATCCATAGTGTAGGAAGTGATTATTTCATAAGTTGCATATCTGATCAACTATGAGAAGTCTGCAATCTTCTTTAGTGCTAACACAAACAAAGAACTGAGGAAGGATATATGTGCTGAGATGGGATATATGAAGGAGGCTATAAGTGGTAAATACTTGGGATTACCTATGCTGATAGGTGGATCAAAGCAACAAGTTTTTGGATATATCAAGCAGAAGGTGCAAGAAAAGTTACAAGGATGGAAAAAGAATCTGTTAAGTCATGCAGGGAAGGAGGTTCTGATCAAGTCGGTGGCCATGGCACTTCCCACCTATACCATGTCATGCTTCAAGCTTCCAAAAATGCTGTGTAAGGATATAAGCAAGATGATAGCTACGTTCTGGTGGGGAGGTGGAGAGCATAACAGGAAAATGCATTGGATTAGCTGGAACAAGATGTCGCAGGTAAAGGGTAGGGGAGGACTGGGTTTTAGAGATCTGGAAAGGTTCAATGAAGCTCTCCTAGCCAAGCAACTGTGGAGAATGCTAAATAACCCAGAATTGCTTGTGAGCAAGGTCATGAAGGCAAAGTATCTAGCACAACCACAGGATTGGGATAGAGAAACTCCTAAAGCAGCTTCTTGGAAATGGAAAAGCATCTTTGGAACAAGGTTCTTGGTAACAAGAGGGACAGGGAAGAGGGTGGGAAATGGGCAAACAGTGGACATTTGGAAGGATAATTGGATACACGGGACTGAGGAAGGAAGGATTAAAACGCAAAGAGATCCAAAATGCACATTAGAGAAAGTAGAGGAACTGATAGCAGATGGGGAGTGGAGTCAGGAGGTGCTGAATCGTTGGTTTATAGCAGAGGATGTCCAAAGGATAAAGGCTATTCCAATCAGTATAACAGGCTACCAGGATAGATTGTATTGGCGATACACTAAATCAAGTGTATTTACAGTAAAATCCGCCTATGATGCGACAATGGAAACAAGACAGTACCAACAAATGGAAAGGCTGAGGAGGGATAGTGGAAGCACGAGCTATGATCAACAAAACTCAAGAATCTGGAAAAGTGTGTGGACACTAAATCTGAAACACAAACTGAAGCACTTTATATGGAGGTGCCTACATCACAGTCTGCCAGTGAATGAACAAATACAGAAGAGAACTGGTAAAGGAAGTCCAATGTGTTGCAGCTGTGGGGAAGGGGTGGAAACACTAGAACATATGTTATTCTTCTGTGACATTGCGGAAACCACATGGAAACTAGCACCTCTGCAGTGGGATGGATTGAGGGAGATGCGAGGAAATTTTGTCAAATGGTGGGAAGGAATGTTAGGAGCAAGAAAAAGAGAACAAGGACAAGAACACATAGCATTAACTGTAAATATTCTTTGGCAAATATGGAAGGCAAGAAATAGGAAAGCCTTTGAGGAAAAGGAAGCAGACCCAAGGAAGGCAGTGCAGAAAGCTATAGTAGAATGGGATGAATATATAGAGGCCCAAAAAGATATAGCTGGAGAGTCCATTCAACAAACAACAAACTCTTGCAAAGGAGAAAAATGGAGACCACCACCACATAACTCCATAAGGATAAATTCTGATGCTGCATTCTCACAGAACTTGGAAAGAACAGGAATAGGAGTTGTGGCAAGAAACGCGAGAGGAGAGCTACTGAAGGCATGGGCAAGATCGGAACTCAAAAATAGCGAGCCACAAGTGGAGGAAGCTACAGCAATCAGGATGGGAATGCAAATGGCCTGGGAGGCAAACTGGAGGACAGTGGAATTCCAATCGGACTGTAAAGAGGTGGTGGACATGATCAACAAGGAAGAAAAGCAGCAGTCCAGAGCAGCTATCATCCTCGAGGACATTGCAAATATGAGGTGTTTGTTTGAACAATGTACTTTCTCCTTTGTGCATAGAACGGGGAACGTTTGTGCACATAGCTTAGCGAAGTTTGCAATTAAGCTTACAAAACCTGTTGAATGGGAAGTGTATTTTCCCATGTGGCTCTATGAAAGAGCACAAAATGAATACCAAGGAAGTAATTCTGATGTATCTAACTCTTGTAGTATCAAGTTTATGAAATGAAATGCAATTATGCTGTTTGAAAAAAAAAAAAAAAAACATATCTGATCAGCCTAAATCTGGAAGAAGAAGCTTGATACAGCATATAAGCATTTTTCCATGTAGAGTAGTCATGAGATGTTGAGTTAAATTGTGAGAACCCTCACTTAAAAATATAAATTCTCCTAAACTACTTGCATTGTCCTAAGATTAAATCAATTATAACATTTTCTTGTATGGCATTTCATTACCTTTTACATGAATTGTAACATCTTCTTAAATTGACATTATTTTATTTCACCACATACACAATGACCAAATACCCTTTTCAATTGTGTTTGAGACTTTATGTGATAGTTAAGGGTGTTCTTTTAGACATTGGAAATATTTGGAGGGTAGCAACCTTATTTGGCAAAGTTTAGAGGGAGAATAGCCAAGATTGAGACAAGTGACAAAACCCTAACCATTCATCTTATTTGACCAAGGAATTAGAGGATTTTAAACCATCTTGACTTCATTTTTTTTCCTCATGTTGGCCGAATTTCCTTAGCTTCCAAGGGAAGAGAGAAAAACTCCATTTTCTTTCTTTTTAACCCTAACTTGATCTTGAGCAAAAATCAAAAGTGAAGGAGCCTAGGTTAGTTGAGTGAACTGCGTTCAAGTCTAGTGTGTGATTCAAGTTTGGGTCTTTGGTTTTTGGTGGATTTTAGGTGATTCAAGCTTCACTTAAGAAAGGTAAATGATCCTTAACTCTTAGCTTTATTGTGTTATATTAAGTGTTTGAGGTTTTGATGGCAAACTAGGAGTTGAGTGGATGTTATTTGTGGTTAAATTTCTTGAGCTAAACAAGAAGAAGTAGGGTTGGTTGTTTGGCATGCCATGTGTTTGCTATTTTGTTTAAGCTTTGTTTATGGTTTTTCTTAATGCATTAACATATTTTGGATCCTTTTAAAGTTAGGGATAACTCTTGGAATATTGTTTGAGTTAGCTATAATGAAAGGACGGAAGTTGGAGTTGAATGTGAACTTGTGGACTGTTTTGTTTCTCTTGGCTGATCGGCCTTGGAGTGGAGGTTTCTCCTTGATTTTTGTGGCTCTTTGCACCTTAATTAAGCCTAAGAAACTTGGCTAAACACTGGTTTAAACTTTAGTGTGAGTTGAAATGGAAATGAAGCAAGTAAAGTGGTTGTTTTTGGGTAAGTTAGTGGACTGTTTTGGTTCTTCTTTGTTGGCTAGAATGTTTTGGTTCTTTTAATCATTTTGTATGTTGCATTTTAAGTTTCAAGGGTGCTAGATAACTTGATCCCTTGTATATGAACTCTAGGAAATTAAATTGGATGAATTTGAGCCAAAACAAGTGAAGTTGGCAAGACAAATTAGAGTAACTTTGTTAGGGTTTTGAACTGATTAGAACTGAAAAATCAGCCAACTTCCCCGGACTACTGGTATGGATAGGAGACGAACTAGAGTCTGAATTTTATACCTTTGGAAAGCCCTTCGAGTCTAGTTTCCAACGCCACCAACGGCACATGATTCTAACTTTTTTACAATGAGATATGACCATTTTCCCGAAACTGCGCGGGCGCGACTGTTTTACCCGCGAAAACACTT